ATAAAAACATACGGGAAGGTCTGCCAATTTACCTATTGCTGGGGAAAGTGACTATCTAAATTGGGGGGAACTATATAAAGTCCCTAATGAAGAAATAGAACCACCATCCTCTGATGAAGAAGTAATTAGATCTAAACGAATTTGAATTGAGTAAAGACGATATATTAGCTATTTAGTTTGTTAGTAGTATAATCGCAAGATCTATCATTAAAGTAAATACTGTATTAGCTGGTGTATTAAATGCATCAACTTTGGAGGTTTTGAAGTGGTCTGTTCAACAACACACTAAACGTCAAATTCTCTAAAAGACTCTTGACAAAACTTTTGGCATTTTAATAGTTGCATGGAACCACATTTTTGGAATATGCTTATAAAGTGTTAAGCATGTTACATCATGACATAATTATCCACTCCAATTTTCTTAAAATCAATTTTCATTATAACGTAGTAGTGTGTATGAAGCTAGTAGTAGTAGTGATGTTTGAAGTTTGTGTAACTTCAAACATTTTTACTCCACAATAAACGCACTTAGTGGTATCCTTTTAGCTAAGCATCCAGATGAAGTCTCCATCAGTAAGATGTTTAGCAGAAGAAGATTTTAGTTTCCACTCATTTAATGTCATCCACCTCCCTGCAGGGCCATTATATGAAATAATGTTGGATTTTTTAGACACGTCGTTGGTAAACACTCAATAAAGTTCACACAAAACCTGCTAAAAATAGTGTCTCAAGTCTCTAATGTCATATTTCAGTCAAAGCACAATAAATAATATCCAAATTAAAGCAATTGCAAACTATTGCAGGCGTTATTTCAAAATGAATAACAGTTATAATTTACGATGACAGTCAACTTAAAGGTAGTGTAATCAATCCAGTGTAACTGAAAATAAACTCACTCTGAAAACTAACGCTCATGTGTATCATGTGTTTACTATGAACAGCTGTAGTAATTAATACAACCTAGAGGACCCAAGCTGCCCTGCAGCGTTAAAATAAATATAATATCTGAGAAATAATCAAATTTATGATTTTTAATTAAATAATACATTATCTTGAGCTTAACTAATTTAAACGATTAATAGCTCAAATTGACATCTATAATTTATTGACTATTTTGAGTCTACAAAATATAGAAAACATGAACAATACTGGAGCTGTTGATTTTTAATCATATTAACACCTAATGAAAAATGATTTTTATGTTGATTGTTCACCTCGCGTTTACTTGAAACTCATCCGATTTGAATAACTAATAGCTTAAATGAAAGCCAGTATTTCACTGAAGGTTCTTAGACTAAAATATAAAATTATAACCTTAAGATTAGTTGCAATTAGTTCCACCTTAAGGTATATTTTCCATTATTCCTACTGCACTACAAATGAAATCAGTAGTACATACTAAACTAAAACAGTAAGTATTTGAATTCCGTGTTAAATGTTATATTAATTTATCCTTTATGTACTGGAATATCACTAAATATTCCAGTGATAAGTGTTTACAAAAAATAGTATTTTTATACTACGGCATTTAAAATCTTGGACATCAATAAAATTGTCTTTAAATTTCCTATTTGAAAACGTATAGTATGATACAGCTTCACTCATGTAAAATCTTGTTAATTCGACTTAAATTACAAATTTTTAAAAATCAATAAAAAGGACTGATATTTTTACTCTTTTTATCTTAGTTAGAAGAATTATCGTAAACATTTAAAGCATCCATCGATAATGGGATTAACGGGTTATTAACGGGTTTCACCTAGTTAATAATAATTCAAAAGTCTCGTATAAGAATGCGTTTTAAAACCATCCATGTGCTTATTAAATTAAGTTGATAAAAAATGAACACTTAACATGCTTAATGGTTATACTATTATTTCTATTCTTAGCCAATTAATTCAAACTCTCTACATTTTATGTTTGTCATTATCTATTAATTCATTGCTAGGAATAAAATCCTTTCAAAGATTGTCACAATAAATTGGAAATTATTACCTTTTAATGTTCCTGTAAATTGGTCTGCACTCTTTATTTCACAACAACTGTCACATCTTGATTCACAACAACTACCATAAATATAAAATGATTAAAATACAAATAACGATTACTCAGTATTGCCTAAGAAAGTTTGTTTCATCTATAGTATTGTATTTTAACTAGAAAGTGTAGAGATGAAACAGTGACCAGTTTGAGGTCACACAATATATCTATCAACTGGTTCCTTATCTTTAAGTTTATCGTCATATTGAACATAAACTTTCTTTCTCTTTCTTTAGTTTGTGGTTAAAAAAAATATAGATGGTTTTGAATTAGACTACTATAGATTTTTGTATTTTTATACTATTTACCAAGTTTAATAATCACCCGAAGTAGTATGGTAGTAAACGGCTCATAAGTATATCTTTTACAAATCTAGTCAGATCTAGTGTGGCCACATCATTCCCACAAACGTATTATTCTTTAATATACTTCCTGCACTAAATTATTTCTGACTCCTGTTAGGTACATCATTAATATAGAGCCCATTTATTTAGTCTAAGAAAAAAAACTCCATCATTACAAGTGTGACATTTAAACTAGCCAATCTAAATAAGATGATTGGTCCACTGGGTGGACACCGGTCCACTCAGCTCCATTTCAGGTCCACTCTTGGTTTTTTAGTGGGATTGCAAAAAGCAAATTTTGTGTTATAGTTGATAAGTCATATTAACATCTTAAAGAGTATAAGAGAATAACTTAAAAAACAATATAATCGGTTTTATACATTTTATTATTCAAATTTACAATCGGGTGAAACCTTCTGGTGTTCTTCTGCAGGCTTGTCATCAAGACCCAAATGATCTAAGACAACACCACACTTGATGCATGAAACTGGATGCAGTTTTAATCATATCTTCAATACTCGGATATAATTTTGGCCATATAATAAACTTTTCTGTCATTGTATTTTCAGTATTTTCAATAGACGTTTTGTGGTTAAAATAGTTTATATAGTCATCTTCAGCATATTCACTCATTTTACACTTGGGATTTAATACTTTATGAAGAAAGTTCAAGTATCGTAATGATAATCTTTCACTGCCCGACTGCCAACCACACTCACAACATATTACTTGTTCATAACATTTTGTCCTGTAGAATCCTGATTTTACAAGATCATCGTTCCGCACATTAAAAGTATCAATAGAAGATTTCTGGGGTGATGGTGGAGTTATAGATGTGACTAATGAGGCATCCATTGATGCTGGCTGGTGATTGAATCTTCTGTAAAACTCTTGGTCCACATCACTGATTGATTTCTTAAATTCCGCCCACTTGTCAACATCCAGCGAAACGCTTTCTCTCCCATTTGGTGTGTATACAATAATGATAATTTTTGTTTCCAATTGGTCATTTTTGAATTGAATTTTCATATCATTTGTTATAATAAATTCTTCGTGAAATTCCATATTTACTGCTATAGACATTTCCACACAGTCGGATATCAAAGTAGACTGAAACCATACAAGCTTGAAACATGACTTTTATACCAAAAATTCTGTCTAGCCAAACAAAATCCTCAATTGGTTTTCAACTATATCACTCTGGCTGTTAGTCACTTTTGAAACTTGGATTGGACGATTAACAACGTTTGGGCTAGCATCGCTAGATTGAGCTTTGTACCATCTGTCATCTCCAGTCGTCCAAGTAGATGATGACACGAACCCACTCTGTTGACGATTCCTATCTCCAGTCATGCGTTCATAATTGCGTTGATGTGGTCTGGAAAAATCCAAAGTAAGGTTGGCTCTGTTGGCATTTGAAGAGCCAAGAGATGAATTTGGCTGTTCTTGATTAGGTCCAGACATTGTACTAGATCGATGGCCACACTAAGACTGAATTCATTAGGTTGGCTATATGACATAAAATACAAGGCAGTCTGTAGAAGTCATGCTGGCTCAGTGGTAACGTCTTAGCTTTGTAAATAGTGAGTGTTAGGGAAACTAAAAAAAATCCCATTGAGGCAGCATGACTTCTTTTTTGCCACACTTTTAAAACACTAATTATGAAAATCTAGTACTTCATCTAGTTCACTGTTTTACCAACAGATAGAGCGCGAATAGCTGTTAGCACACATCGACAGACTTGATCACGTGCGCAAAAGGAGATAAAGAAGTGTAAACAACAATGGCGGACGATGTAAACAGACGCGGTGACCCGCAGGTCGGGGAATCCCCGATAACGGATAACGCCGGAATGCGATATCTTTTATCTAATTGTTTTTTAATTGGGGTCAATTGGGGTTAAACGTTTGATTGGCGCTATCGGCTGATTACTGGAGGTCAGGGGTCAAGGATTGTAAACAATAAACAAGGTATGGCTTTGCGGGGGGTCTTACCTTCGGTCCTAAACCCCGTGTACCATCACTACTAATATTGCAAAAGATAAATGGTTATAGAATCAAGAATATAATAACAATGTTTTCTTAAATGAACATTTAATATAGGTCTTTTAACTATCATTGATTTCTAAGTCGAAGCATAATCATTAGGAAAGTGTTAAATACATTAACACTTACACATAGAATATTTCATTCAAACAATAATATCTTCCCACATTGAGAATACATAAACAAAATAAATAAACACAGTGGGAAATACTATGAGGATGTGAAACATTGTTTTCTTGCCAATGTATATTTATTTACTTTGTTTATGTTTGTGTGTTTGTATGTCAAGACAAAATCATCCTGGTGTTTTAAATACTTTGTTACATTAATGATAACCTATCTGACGTTGAAGGTTCATCTACACTCATATATATAAAATCTACACATAATTGAACCTCATATAATCTAAAACATATATTGCATTCTATAGTCTAAATCAATTTATAAGTTAAGAAAAATATCAAAGTTATATAAATAGAGAGGTTAAGCCAAAAGAATTAATTAACCTAAAAAAGAGTATTTAAGAGTATTTTGAGTAAAGTGGTTGTAAGGCTGTTTCACGTTTTCTCAGGTCTTTTCTCCTATTCACACATGGACTTTGAAGCTGAAAGAGACAAGAAGTCGACAGGAGATCCCTCCTTAGCGGAAATGACAGCAAAAGCTCTGAAAATACTGTTAAAAAATCCAAGAGGATTCTTTCTCTTCGTAGAAAGTGAGTCTCATTGATTAATTTTATTCATTATATTTCTAGAAACAATTGTGTAATTTATTTTTGTTGTAAAATTATAAAACTGTTCCATTGTTTTGAGTTTCATTGGCTTAGTTTAGTCAACATTCTCCATAAAAACAATTGCAAGGTTTTCTTTTGCATGTTGAACATAGCTTTGCTTTTGTATTAAGTCCCAAAAAGAACACAAGGCTTAAATAAAACAAATATACCAGTAATTTAATCAACATGATTTTAAACAGATTTTTTCAGTCAAAGTCTGTATATTAAACTAATTTAATAACGTCACCATTTTCATACATATACATCAATAGTTCAATTTAAACATTTTCAGGAAACATCCTTTTTTACCCGTTCAACTTTTATTGATTTATTCGATTGATGTGTCAATGTAAATCTTATGATCTATTGGAGTGACGAATGGTAACCAAAAAGGTAATTTCCTTTAGGGCTTCGCTCCCCCAGCGTTTTATTTATTTCTAAAAGCTTTCAAATATCCAGTAATGCTGACCAAGTTTCTTTATAACGGCAAAATGGAAATTTTAATTTAACAGTTAAGCCATTAGTTTAATTTTTAAACAAAGTAAGACCACAAACAAAACTCTAAACATTTTCTAAAAATGACTTTTAAACAGGCTATTTTACACTCTTTATAGTGTAGATCTACAATCAACAAATGTATTGTATTTTAAATTAGAAGTTTTCTTCACCTAATAACTCTCTCAAATGAATATAATCTTTGAAAGGTAAAGAAAGGTGTATTGTATGTATCATTTTCCCTTGCAAACAAGTTTTAAACTCTATTGCGCAATTTTCCAATTTGTGCAAGGTTCCCTCGTTGATAATAAGACCCATATTTTACAATTAATTGTCTTCTTTTGTTGTATGTTACCTAATAGTTCGGTTTGGTATTGCTACTTCAACAAATTGATGGTTTGTAGTTTCTGAGGATCAATTCACTTTTTGTATATTTATAAGCCAGAAACCCTTATAAGATAATACGCGTTTCTGGTATTGATCTTATAAACTTTTGGCGTTGGGGAACAGTCCAAATTCTGGTTTCATTAATATAAAAAGCAGTTGAATTTTCACAAGCTACGACTTAGTCCAGAAACGGTTCTTTTCAGGATCGAACAAGCTACCCTCCGGTTTGAAGGTGAGCGCTTGTCTTCCATCAATTTGGCGAACGTAAATATGTCATATAAGTGAAGTTATTTAAACACGTACACGAGAAAGATGGCAAAAGTAAAATATTGTTAAACTTGCAACACAATTAATTAAGTTTATTTATAAAAAAAAACTCAGGAACGGTTGTCAATATTTTAAACATTTTTACACAGAACGGTGATTATATTTTACGTTTCTTCACCCGACTTAAATTATTAACACTATATAGCAATAGTTATTAATGTCAGTAACACTGTGTAATGTTCGTAATATGTGTTGCAAGACCTCAAGCAAAGTAAAGATTCGAGGTAGTTAAATTAAATTGAATTTAACAAAAGAAAATATTTCAGAGTATCTCAGCTAAATGAATAGAAAAGCCGCTCAACGGATGACATTTTGTGGCTTGGATAATTTATTTCTGGTCTTTCTTAGCCACAGTAACCATTGAAAATGAAAGATATGAAATTATTTTACAGAAATATTGTGTTTTACCCAAAAACGTTTAGGAGGTCTTCAAATGTATTTTATTTTACCTAGCAGTTTAAAGCTATGAATAATGTAGTGATGATTTAATTTGAAGTTGAATTTTTAGTTTTATTTGTCACTACTCTAAAACGTAGCCTTTAGCTGAATGACGCCTGGATTTATTTCAAAGAATGAAATAACTTACTGTTCTACCTTTTGAGCAGTCTTATTTTTTACCACCCACGTCATATTGTTAGTTGAATTCAATAGCATTTCTTAAATGAAAATTATAATATGAAAGAGGTCATTCATTTCTTAAATGAAAATTATAATATGAAAGAGGTCATTATGTTGGGTTAAAAATCAGTTTATATCGTGTTAATTATAGCTCAATTATAGCTTTTGTAAACCAGTACACAGCTCGATTACTTACCTCCAAGTTAGCACTCATTACATTAACCTACACAAACTGCTTACAATATTGTCTTTCAAATAAGTAATTCAATAATAGGTCACTAGGCCACAAAATAGTTTATATAAACATTAGTTAAATTTTAGTTTCACAACGCCTGCATATTGATCAACATATTGTATACTGCTTTAAGAAACGGCCACAAGGGTCATGTAGTTCTAACCTAACCTTACATATGATAATGACAAAAATTGACTGATAAAAGTGATAATGAATAGTTAAGCATTGTATAATAATTACTTAATTAATTGGGTGTATTTTTTTATTTTTTAACTGTGATTTCCCTATAAAAATAATCCCTACAAAATAACAAAAATATCGGATTTTCAAAAAAACGGCTTGGGACGTCCAGCAAAGCAAGGGGTGAGCCAGTACAGGACATGGGCGAACCATACCGATTAAAAGTAGCGGCAGGGAACAGGATCCGAACCCACGACATTACTGCATTGTAGGTATGTTAAGAGTGGCGAGTCATGGGTGACAATGGTGACATGTAGTTGTAATTGTTCATTGTTCCAGGTGGTAGGATAGATCACGCTCACCACTACAACAACCCTTACCGAGCTCTAGACGAGACCCTCTCACTGGACGAGGCCGTGATGATGGTCCTGTCCATGGTCGACCCCTCGGACACCTTAGTCGTCGTCACATCTGACCACTCCAATGTCCTCACCCTGGGCGGCCTAGCCACGCCGCGGGGCAACCCTATTCTTGGTAACGTAGCTTAAACGCAATACAACTTTATAATATAGTCGGAATCATAATTTTTCTGAGAGTGACAACTTTATCGGCTAGCACTGTATGCATCTTGCAACGGATTTATGTAAGTTAATTGTGAGATACGTTTTGAAGAACGCGGTAAAACAAGGATTTTACCAATTATGTAGGTAACATACGATTAGTTTTTTACCTCATCTGCCCATCATAGATCTACTGCACTATACGGTGATTGGGAAGACACTGAAGTTTTGTCACTGTAAGGCACACGGGTAAGCCAGAGATGATTGTAGTTATCAGATACTTTATGAGATCGGTAAATTACCAAATGAGCAAAGTTTTGCCTACCAGCCACAGACGATACCACAAGCAGCACTAACTATTTCTTTACTGGGTGTTCGGTAGATGTCATAGTACCACACTGTACTACGACGTTAGTGAGTCGCTGATCTTCTTAAAGACTTCCATTTGACCTGATTTTGTTGTAAGATACTTGAATAAAAATGAGCAAAAAGGGTGGGTTTTATTGAACCCACTATATGTGTAACCCGTTGAAAAAATATGAATTTTAAGCACTATTGAATAATTTGCTGTTATCAAGCATTAAATTCTGGCTTAAGATGGCCCACTTCATTTCTTGATGAGGCTGGTTAAATGGGTTGAATACATTTAACAAGTAATTTTGCAGTTTAACAGTTAACTTATATTTGCTATTAAGTACGGTACAAAGCAAACGTGGACTTACAAGTCTATTAAGACATTCACGACCGAGCCACAGCGTTACCGACGATGACGAATCCTTATATTTGTGAGGGAGATGGATGGATATGGAGGGGGAATATCAGCTGATGTACGAGTGGTGTTGTCAATGAGTAAAAAAAAATATGCGGGCTAAACTGTGATTGGTAATTGATTACGATTTCTCTGACATTCTTTTTTACGTTTTTGCATACCTCGTACTCTAAGTCTTCAAAATTATATTACAACTGTGTGTGAGTATTGACTATTTTATAGCACCAAAGAAAGCTTAAATCGAATAATTGTTAGTCAAACTAGTTAGCAATCCTTTTAACAAATAACCATAGTCATTTTTGTGATTACCAAATTTCCCAGGTACGGACACCAAGCCGTCAGACATGGATGGTCTGCCATACTCCAGCCTGCTCTACGGCAACGGTCCCGGGTACACAAGTCCTCGGGCCATCCCCTCCAACACTAGCGAAGAAGAGAGGAACGCTGTCCATGGAGCGGCCGTCCCTCGCCAGTGGGCAACCCATGGTGGCGAGGACGTACCCGTGTACGCTCAGGTAGGCGCTCAGTTTTAGAGTCGGTACCTGTTAAGAGTTTTCATAATAATTTTATATCCATAGCAATAATTATTGGAGATATGTCTGCGTAGTTAGTATCTTATCTGACTTCGGCCCGCAGTTGTATAATAGCCTTCCTCAGGAGATTATGAGCTCCAAATTCTAGAGTTATTCAGGGTTGCAGGAAAAAACTATTGTACAATGTGAATTGTAATTTTTTTAGAAATGTTTTGTACATTCGATGTGTAAATGTATTAGATTATTTTAATTTTTAGTTTTGACTGAGTTAGTTTGAAAACAATATTGTATGACACTCGCTTGTAAATAAGGGGCTTTTTATATATTTGTGTATTTATTTTATCACTACACCAAAGTGACTTAAATTATACGAGCTCTAATTTCTTGTATTTGTTTTTTTTATCTACTTTTCCCTTCAAACATATATGGATATCCCCATAACAGTCTGAAGCTCCAGCTCTGACTAGCAAAACACCCTTAGTTTTATGGCCGAGGTAACGCTGACGATGAAAATTAGATGTGCTTGGACTACTAGTCATCATACCGGACGAAAAATGTGCGGTTTTTGCATTTTACTTTCTCCCCTTATATATATTATATGGAGAAAGTATTGTTATTGTCAAAATCGTCCAGTTTTAGTTTTGGATAGTATGTCCGTTTTGGGCACCAGTGAACCTCAAAAAGTGGTTTTCTAAGTGATCTGTGAGTGTGTGTTTGTGTATATAGAACAGTTGTGCAGAGCTTCAGACTACACCAGTGATTAGTTCAATGAATATCCAGGTGTTTTTATTCATTTTGTCATGTTTATTTAAAAAAAAATAAAAAAAAAATGATTTTTTACATAAAAAGGCAAGAATGATTTTGATTTAAATTTAGTACCCCTATGTTCTTTTAACTGTAAAAATATTATTAAGCAATAAAATTACGGTTCAAACGTTATTGTGATTTTTGTGATTTTTCCCATAAAGTATCAAGGCTAATCGCACTACTCTTAGAATTTCCCCATCATTATTTGCGTACCTTTATATTGTAATCTTCGTAATCGAGTTAAACAGCTTTTGCGAAATTCCAAACTTGGATACATTCATTCACTTTTTGAAAATCAAAAACAGCCATCGAGAGTTTTATAGCGTAAAGTTAAAAGTCTTGGGCTTAGGAAACAATTTGATTCTCAACCAGTACACATCCCTCTAAATGGGTTAAACGTTTACTTTTCTTCTAGCAGTCAAAATACCAATCAGCATAAAGTCAATAGTTACTTGAATGAATTAGTCAACTCTCCAACCCCACACCTGGGATATCCCGAGTTTAATTTCAAATCAGTTATTCAGCCTGATGTTTTGATGGCTATTCGCAGAATCCGAAGCAATGCTGTCGGTTCTGATGGGATACCTATCCGCTTTATCAAAGTCATCCTCTACGCAATCCTTCCTACTATCACGTTCATTTTTAATGCATCTTTGAGGCACTGTTCTTTCCCTTCATTTTGGAAGTCTGCCATTGTCCGTCTCCTAAAAAAGATCTCAGCACCAACCCTGGTTGGGGATTTCAGGCCGATAAGTATTTTGTCCGCTCTTTCTAAAGGCCTAGAAAGGATCGTTCACTGTCATATCACTGAATTCATCACTGAAAATAACATTCTATCTGATTATCAATCTGGTTTCAGATCAACGCACAGTACAGAAACAGCACTCCTTCGAGTGACTGAAGACATTAGACTCGCTATGGAGCGTCGACAAGGAACGATTCTAACTCTGTTTGATTTTTCCAAAGCATTTGACTGTGTCAATCATGACTTGCTCGTGCAGAAATTAAGGGCAATAGGGTTTTCCCAGAATTCTCTTAAATGGCTGAGATCTTATCTGTCAGATAGGCAACAATGTGTGGAGGTTGGTGACACAAGATCAGACTAGATGACTGTTACATGCGGTGTGCCCCAAGGATCAATCCTTGGACCACTGCTCTTTGTACTGTACGTCAACGACATAAACTTGACCTTGGCCAACTGTAAACACCACATGTACGCTGACGACTTACAGATCTATGACCATTTTACAGCAAACAACGAAAATGACTGTGTCAGAAGGATCAATGAAGATGTCAACCGAATAGTTACTTGGACTGAGAATCACGGACTAAGAATCACGGACTAAGACTAAATCACGAAAAGACAAAACCGATTGTAATCTGCCACCCTCGACTTCGCCCTTCAATTGACTTAGACTCAATAAACCCAATCACAGTGAGTGGCAAAGCACTTCCCTACTACGACAAAGTAAAGAATCTTGGCATATCTTTCAACTCTTCACTTACTTGGGACACATCAGTTACGGACACACGAAAAAAGGTTTTTGCCTCCATACATTCACTGAAAAGATTGCAGAACCTTTTGCCACAACATACAAAACTTCATTTACTTGTACTGCCCCACTTCAGTTACTGCAACTCATTGATCAATGACTGTGATTCAGGCGGGTATGCTCCAGCGGTCTCAGAATTACGCTTTGAGATTTGTCTATGGTCTGCGGCGTGAGGAGCATATCACGCCATACTACCTTGAGGCAAACATCTTGAAATTAAATTATCAAAGATCCATCAAAATTTTTTCATTGGTCTTTTTTTATTTTGAAATCAGGCTCTCCGAAATATTTTACATCAGATTTTAAATTTGTGTCTCAAGGTAGTTCACGAATTTCTCGTTCTTCTTCGATCACATTGCGTATACCTCATCATGTGACCACCGCTTATGACAGGGCTTTTGTTGTTACCGCTTGCCGTCTTTGGAACAGCCTACCCCTACACATTAAATCCCTTGATAAACGCTCCCAGTTTGTGGCGGCACTAAAAAATCTCTACTTTGAGCAAATGGTCTCGGCTGGCGTGTCCTAGGGCTTCTGCTTCTTTGCGCGATTGCTGGTGTGTGTGCGTGTGAGAGTTTGAATGTGTTTTCTTTTGTATATATTCTATTTATAATAATTACTATTTTTTAAATAGAATTTTTGTTTAACGTGTTCTTGATGTGTTAAATATATATATTTATATTAGATTAAGATTTTTCATTGTATTTTTATTTATTTATATTTAAGTTTGTTGCCTGACAATCCCACATGGCAAGAGAGGGCCATGTGGCCCTAACTTTGCCTGGTAAAATAAAGAATCTTTCATTTCATTTCATTTCATTTAATTTCATTTTACCTTACATGAAATATTCTGTATTTTTTCTAATTTTCAGCTTCTATTCCTGGTATGTAAATGCATGTAATGGTGAGATTTTGTAATATTATTTATTAGAAAGGGGAAATTTATTTGTTAAATTATATTATCACGCACTTTTTACGTCATTTAAACCGTTTCTACCTTTTCTTTGTATACTTACTTGTATGACACTTATATTTTATTCATTTAGTTCTAATATTTTATAATGGTAATATTTAAAAAATCATAAAATATCATTAAATTAAAAGTTTTATTAAACAATTTAGAATGCTCTTTAAACCTAACTGTTTAGTTATATGGGAACTTATTTAAAAATAATAAATTTTTAAATTAGTTTCTCTCATCGACAATGTTTAATATATATAATGTATTTTTATTCAGTAAAACAACCCCTTCCGAATAATTATTTATGAGACTTCAGAAGTTTGTTACGTATTCAATGTTCAGTTGATGAATTGAATTCTCACCCAATCAGAATATGCTATGTGTTTCACAGTAATACATCGCTTTTAATCTGGCAAACATTTTTTTCCTTTGAGAAAGTAACGGCAATATTCTCCGTCGTAACACTTCGATATTCGAATTGAAATATCTAATCATACGAATACAGCAGACACATCCTACTCAATCCTAACATATCGCGTTTCTAATTTATTTTAAGCTTCTGAACTTATTTCACTGCTTGTTTTGCTTTGCTTCGAGCTGATGTAAAACTTTGTTCTCGTCATAACCGAAAATAACATATAAGATCTGTAAAAATGTTTGATGTGTGCTCTTTGCATAGTGAGTAAAAAGTAATTAGTTACGTATAAAAAACTATTTTGTGATTGGTTCCTTGTAAAGGAATATCAGAAGATTTTGTGCTTTCATAGTTAGGACGTTAATCAGAGTTACTTAAAAACCTATAGACCATTATTAATTTTTGATAACATCATTTAAAATTTACAACCATTATTGATTTTAAGATACAGTATTAATTTTTTTTATTTATCTCACAGCTATTGCATTGGATATTATTTATTTTACCTGGTGTTTCTGTTGTAGTAAAATGATCGACAATCACATAGGCACTTGCAGTTGCAGTATCCAAAAGAGTCTTTATTCTAAGACCGACGATTGGCTTATAATCATTCATTAATACTTCTGTATAGTAACTTAATTTGCTAGAGACGTTAAAAAATAAACATAGACCTACATATTATGTTCAATTTCATTTTTTATGTTAATTTTTTTGTTTTATGTTGCAATTGTGAAAACTAATAACTAACTAACTAATAACTAACTAAATAATTCTCCTTCCCCATAAACATCATCCTTTATCGTCAATGGAAATTTTATCTGACAATTTTTTAAATTTTGAGCAACTTAGGATAAACATCAATTTAAACATATTTAAACACGCCATAGATGTGGTTAGTGTGCTTCTACTTGAGTCAAACACGGTATGAGGGACGGTAAAGACGTGTTTTGTGTGTTTTACGTAGTTGTATACATTGTGTTTGAAATAAGTCGCAGGGCAAAATAACACAGTATTCTGTTATCAACGTGTTGTTCACCTTTGCACCAAGATTGTGAATTAAAATAAGTAGTGGTTTACGTACAACAACAACAATCCTTGAGGTGTTTTATTGTTTAACATGATTTGAAAACTATTGAACTAACTAACTATTAATTAATTTAACCATTATTATTGTATTTGATAGTTCAGACTGTAAAACCACCAAACGAGAATGGAGCCTTCTTCATAACACTCACACCACATTCATAACAGCCGAGGATGGGAATAATTGGAGCAAATTCAGGAAAATCACTTTCGGTACAAGTTACGAATGATACTTTCATCGCGACACAAAATATTCACATGAATAACAGATCTCATTAAAATCAAAAGTATGTGTCCTAATTAAGATAATTTTAATATAAGAATAGAAGCAATAATACTATATCAAACCTACAACGAAGTGAAATTTAGAAATTCAAGTTTAAGGTTATGTTTATTTTGCATTAAACACTCACTACAAACTAAAATACAGCAAAACTAGCTAATACATATTACTTTTCAATTTTTTTTTATTGTTGAACAATAAAAACAGCTGATTTCAATAATAGAAGTTAATTGTGAATAAACACTAGTACACGTAGTAGGAATGGTTATTTGTGCAACTAGTGAGCAATTGACTCACTCGAGAGAAACTCACGAGCCGTAGGCGACTGAGGAATGGTTTCTCGAGTGAGGCAATTGCACTTTGCACTCGAGTTGCACATTATATTTTTCCTACCGTTACCATAAAACAAATAAATTGGTAAAGAAACGTAACATATTTTTGCACAGAAGTGAACTTTTAATATGACATTTAATGATACAACAGTACAACAGCTGGCCAGCTGATTTACAGCCAGTGCTGCCAACGTATTTCGCGCGCATACGACCTTGTCTGCATGTTACGCGCTCACTATTTCGTGCCTTCACGTTCCAAATCTGGAGTAAGACAAATTAATTACTGATGAGCGAATTGGCCACTTTGCTTTCTTAAATCAGTGAGAGAACATGTACATTGTTAGGTAACTGTAGGAAAAGTAAATTTGGACAAGGGAGAGTCAGCTGATCGTTTTCCTTGCTCTAAATTAGAGCTTTGTAAACAATTACTGTACTTTCTTTTATATTAGCTGTTATCGAAAATAACGTATTTCTGTACCTACGTTTCAATTCCAACATTCCAGGGTCCATTAGCCAGGGAGTTGTTCAGCGGGACCGTGGACCAAAGCTACATTCCCCACGCTATAGCCTACATAGCCTGCCTAGGTCATCAAAAGTCCAGGTGTTCGGAGGTGAAAAACGAGACAAAGGAGTCGGTAAGTTAAGTAAACAAATCAAATAGATTATAAAATACAATCACTGTTCCACAAAATACTTCCCGTAGCAAAATAAACACAAAGCTGTTGTTCCCACTTAATTTTAGCGAATTTCCCTATAGGGAAGTAGCTATTACCGTAGGTCTAATGGTAAGACTTAGGCCCGGGACCGATTTACTTTTTCATTTTGATGTCCCCAGAGGCCAAAAACACCATTCGTTCAAATTTTTATATATGTATATATATATATATATATATATATATATATATATATATATATATATATATATATATGTGTGTGTGTGTCCGTGAACACGATAACTTGAGTAATTTTTATTCGATTTTGATGAAATTTGGTTTGAAGGTGTAAGGCAGGATAAACTTGAATGAGTTCGCGATCCAGCATGATCGGACTATGGGAACAGGGTTTTATGGGGGGTTTTATGGGGTAAAAATTGGTTTTTCTCACTTTTGACCCTCAAAACACAAAATTTTTCAATTTTTCTCTAACCCTTCTTAAAGAGCTTAAAAAAACAAACAATTCAGTATATCAAAGTGTTTTTGTATGGTTATTGGTTACGGAGAAAACTAAAAAAATGGTAAATTTAAAATTACCATGTTATTCTTATGGAGGATATTGTAAAATGTTGTAGTTTGCTTGTTTATGGATATCTGTTGATCAAACTTGGCAAATATATTCATTTTATACTAAGCAATAATTATTTTACTTAAAACACACACTTTATTAGTTTCCTTGTAGCAGCAAACCTAGGTACTCGTTAAACCTAATGTTATTTAAATAGATCAATTGAAAATCAATTCAGCCAAATGGAAATTCGCTTAGACGGCAGGTTTGCTGCGGCGGGGGTATTTAATATATTAATAGTTGATATTAAGTATTATCTTTTGTTATTAAAAATAAACCAGTTTCAAACAAATGTTCACTTTTATTGGTTTTTTGAAACAATATAAGTTTACACAATCGTTTCATAATTAAAATATTTAATCAGAGTTTTTAAAATTGTATACGTTTGTTTTGATAGTAAAAACTTCTTTTACTTAAATCGAATCTTTTTAAAAGAAGAAACGTAGACTTTACGTTATAAAAATACTTTGAGCACAGATTATTGTACATGTCATTTTTGTTTAAGGTTGATCATAACATTCTTAGTTAATAGACTGTGTCATGTATTGTGTTACAGATATTGTATAGCAATGCTCGACGAAAAAAAGAAAACGTGCAGTAACAGAGAAAACATCTTTTGTTTCTACTCTAATTAAGAATTAATAACATTTGACATTCCATAATATAACCTTGTTAAAACTGAATCAGTATCAAATATGTTTTAATTTTTAAATAAGTATTTCATAAAATAGATTCACAAATTCATTCTGGCTTATATACATAATATTACTGATTAATTTCGTTAATGCATTAAATTGTTGTTTATTTGGTCTTATGGTTGTAGCTTCTTGTTCTATTGGTTTAATTGTTTGGATTATAACAGTACAAAATTAGCCCTACTACGCTGTGGTATATTTGTATTGCCAAATTTTATATGTAAATTTGTTATTTTAGACGTTAGTTTTGTTTAAGGCCAAGCAGGACATTTTTAATCGATTTTTAATTGCGAAAATGGTCCGATTCATTATGATTTAGAAAATATACACTTCACGAATTGTTTTGTACCTTCATACGTAACACAGGAACGCACTCAAGTCTTGTAGGATGACAACTCAAATATCAATTTAACGACTCACAATGTTAATGGCAAATTCTCTTCACCAATAAATAAAAGGAGGACAGTGTCGTTTCATAACAACAAAAAATGTTGTTCGAAGCTGATTCCACGAAGTGTTTTCAAACAGTTTTGTCTTGATGAAGACAAACATTGATTAAATAATTATAGTGTGGTGTACATTTTTAGCGTTTTAATTACACTAATTAAGTCAATCATCTCAACTTATTTTGTTTTATCGTTTTAAGACATGTTTGTATTTTAGCTATGCCAGAATAATATTGGATTAATCCTTCATGATTTATGACCCAGAACCGATCAAATTGGGACCTTGCCGTACGCACCGGGTTTTTATTCAAATCCAAAATAATCAAATTCTCATTCTTTGAGGATTGCAAATTCTTTGTTTGAGTCCCCTCTCAAAAATATGCTATGTTGAAATCAGATTTTCTTTCTTAGTTTTTGATAGTGCCACGGATAGCACAGATGTTTACAGAGTTTGTTCTAACCCTTAACTAAATATATTGCAGCCACCCTGTTATCCGGGTCCCCATTAACAAAACACTACCTTATCCCATCATGATTGCCCAGAAATGATAGTTGACGATGTTACTCTTAACTAAACTAAAAATCCACAACTCCCACGCAACCTATTCCCACGAATATGTTTTTGTGCATCAATGAATTCTCATTAGTCTTCGCACAAACCCGTAAGCATCACCGCGATCGTCGTGAAATCGTCAATTTCCGCAATTTGCACTCGGCTCGACTCGATCCGAGGTTGGTCCGATAACCATTATTGACCCCAAACGGTCCCTCAACTATTGGTCCGACCCGACCTGAAAATATCCGAACCCGTGGCCCTTGTAAAAGGTACACTTGGCGACCGGGAATCACGACCAAGAAACCCAGATTTTGTTACCAGAAAATCAAGAATATGCCAAAAACATTTTCAAGAGTTCAGTGACTGATCTGTATTAATTTGAATTGTTCAGTTTAAATCAGGATACTAATACCATTGTGGTGTTGCTGCAGTTTTGATCCTCTGTTTTTTTTTTCGTTTCAGCCCCTTATTCTTCTTGCTAGGCACTATAAAGCATCTAGATATAAGACTTTTGCAAAAATACTGATGGTTTGTGGATTTTTCAGACAAGCTGTGCCGTTACCGAAGGACCCAAGAGTAGATCTGGACTGGTTTTAGCCTCAAGTGTCATGTCTGATGACAACAAAGTAGCCTCCAAGAGTGCAATCCACTATTGTCGAGTCATCATATCTACTTTACTTGTGATAATATTAGTGTCATAGACGCCAAAGCAAGATCTCTGAAGAAGAATCAGAATCCGCATAACGAATTTCACTGTCAAAAACTTTGGCTTATAGATGTAACCATCATGACTTAAGGTCAATTGTAAGGTGTTACTTCAAGGCGAAAAAAATCCAGTGTTTCTTATATTACCATTTGCCTCTCATTATTCTTTTAGTGAATTGGATTTTATAGTTGCAGTTGATGTTTATTGTTTTATTGATATGTGTTTAACAACAGAATCCAATCATATTTATTTTTTACTTCTGATTCATATACTCAACGTATTTTTAACTTCAAAAGACAAATTAGTTTTGGAATAAGGAAGGCTGTTAAATGTTAGCAATTAATATTTTTACAGCCAGTGATACTGATTCGCAGGTTGAAATAATGAAAATGTTTGTCAACATTGTTAGTGTTTTACATATTTAGTTAATGCTTTATTTTAACCTATTGTAAATACATTCAGACAATCATGTTAGGAGAATAGTTTGAAGTGCCTTCTATAAAATGAGTGACGTCGGTTAAAACGTTGTTAGTACTAAACTAAAATTGTAATGATATTGTGTTTGTAAATAAATATATGTTTAAAATTTGTTTAATATTGTCGTAATATCCATTAACAGTGAGAATTGAAAAGTTTTGCCGGACCAAAACCGTTTATAAGTGATGTTTTACAATAAAGGGTCATGATAAAATAGCAATGGTATAAATCTGTTTGGCACATAATTAACGATTTTGTTACATGGTTTGAAGTGGTCATTATTTCTAATTCATTACATGTTTCAAGTCATCGACGGCGATAATGGTGTGATTGATTTATCCATACAATAAATTACATTCTGGTACAGGAAATGTGCAAGCATTAACTCATGTTCTTATAGACCATCATCCATCAGCTGATCCAAATGAATCAGAACATTTTCAACTTTTAATATTTTTTACTAGCCAAACCTAAACGATAATAATTATTGTAGAATATTACGCAAGTGATGAGTTAATAATAATAATAATAATAATAATAATAATAATAATAATAATAATAATAATAATAATAATAATAATCTTTATTGTCATTCAGCAACATAAAATTACAATAGACAACGTCAGAAATCAGGACACAAATATGACATCATGCTTAAATCTATATCACCACAATATTGACAAAATATAAATTGAATTAAAGGTAACATAAAATATTTTCTTACAAACCACTAATTAAAATACACCCTTTTATTGTTCTTCCTGTTAAACTTAAACAAACAATACGAAATTTGATGTTTACACAGTATTATGTGATTTAGTACTAAATATAACTCCATAAAAAAACTGGTAATATAGAATAGACTTTTTCAAAAATGCCTTTCGTTTTATATTATTCCTAAGTTCTAGACTTCTAAAACCATCAGCTAAAGTTAACATTTGAAAATTATTTTTAAAAAAGTGAAAAAATTAGAATAGAATATTTTTAGAAAGTTTTCCACCTATAAAAATTTAAGTTTTCCTGGATGGTGAGAATATGACTTGGTGGTTTGAAAATGGTTTCTTAATTTGTATGTAGAAGTCGAGAGCACTTGAAGTCCATTGTAATGAGGCTGCCTCGCAATTCTACCCTTCCCGCGACCAACTTGCTCAGGGAAAGGACAATGTGCCTTAACAACATCCTTGGAGGGATACTAAAACGTGCAGCAAGATATGTTTTACTGTGTTCAGTTTTTCTTGGCGCGTACCATTTTTAACTTCCTCAGTTAAAATTAATTAGGTGTAAAACAAGGATTATTGGCTGTATGTTTCCTTAGTTTTTTAGGTCAACGCGAATTTTTAAACCTCAAATAATATTAAACCTAAATTTTCATCGTTACTAAGATTCCATAGTTGTCTTAACAGTGTTCACTAAGTTTTAAGAACACTTTTTCTTTGAACTATTTGTCAAGAAATATGTCTTTGTAATAGTAAAGGAATTTCCTCAAATATGTCTAATATTTAATGGTAATTTTTTCGTTATTTTATCATTTTCTCAATACATATTCGTTAGTAAAGGATATGCCATAATACAGCTATACTAGCATAAACGCAGCTATCTCTTTGCATTTCGTTAAAAAAAATTACAATGTCAAAAATTATTTGACTTTTAACCAGCTTTTTAGTCAAGTTATTTGAGAAAAGGATTTTAAGAACATAGAAATTAGTTATACATCATAAATTTTGTATTTAAGAACCTTTGTAAAATCTATATTTTATATTTAATCTATGTTCTCGCATAACCTACAATAATATGAAATAATACAATTATTTAAATTAACTTTTCATTGACATACACGAAAACATCACAGATCTAAGATAAGAATCATATTAATTTGCTAAGTAATTAAACCAAAGTTATTTAACTTAATAATTATAACGTTTTAATTTGTTTGTAATAATAAAATTGAATGAATTTCAAACAAAGTAAATGTCTAATATAAATCTTTGTCTTTAGTATTGTTGAAACAAAGGTGCTGCTTAATTAGATATTTTGATTGTATTCCATTTAAATATGGCAATGTTCTAACAAAGCCATTAAATAGTAAAATTTTAATAATCGTTGTACTAAATTTTTAAACATTTTAAATTGTATTTCGATTCAATGATTTACATTTAAAGGGTCATTCAATTTGGTGCTCTAAGTTTACTCTGACCAATTATTTTTGTAACTTAACGTACTACAATAATATATGCTAATAGACCAACTTTTGAATACCAAAGTTGTTTTATGGACTTGGTCCAATAACAATGCAGCCATTACTCCATAACCACAAGAAATGGTTTACCTAAAGTCCAGGCAGGGTTAACCATATTTCTCCATTAGCTACAAACTTCGCCTCCAGCCCAGAAGTATGTCGTAGAAGTTGAAAGTTTCTTACTATTAATTCTCTTTACGTTATCATCCCTTGGCTCACCTGAGTTATTTTCAACCCCTTTTAGTAGTTTATTTTGGGGTGAAAATGTTCAACCCTTTGCAACTTGGGTTTTAGTGGAAGGTATTGTTTGAGTTTGAATTGTTTGGTAATGTTTGAAGGTGTAGTGTAATCTATGTTGTGTAACGAAGAATAACTTGACCAGTTGCATTCTTTACTGTAGGATTATCATGTAGATAAATATGTTTTACAGTATTTACTTAACTATAACAGTAACAAATTATTACTTGTTCAATCAGTTGTTTTTCTGAACGATGTGAACTGGTTTTAAAACAAGTTGTCTAATTGTGGTTATGTTTTACCAGACTAAGGACCACGAAAATCACATCTCTTACATTCTTAAACTGTTTAAACCGTAACCAATAGTTAATAAGCTCTTCAAGAGATGTATTACATTCATGTTGCCTAATATGTTTAAGGTTGTAAATACAGGTTACTTTATTTAAGTGACTAGCACTCCAAAACCAGCTCCAAAACAGCTGTGCTGCATTTAAGGTGTTGGTCTATAAATGCCTGTCTAATGAATTTAATACCTATTCTTGCCTCTTCGTAGATCATGGAATCAGCGTCGTTTGAAAAAAATAACAACCTAATATTTTCAAATTAACACAAATCCACGATATACACTTATATCCTACAAGGAGCCGAGGGCTGTACAACGTTGTACAGGTTGCCAAAATAAACTCGAGTAGCCTGTTCTCATAACCAACAGAAAAGTTCCTAAATAAACTCCCTCAGGAGATTAAGTAACAGCGGTATGAAAATATATTTAAAAGTATTCTCAAAATATGTTTTGTTGCCAACGAGTTTTTAAGTGAGGGCGAGTTCCTTATCACCAATGCATAGGTGCATGTATGGCTGATTTAGATCTCAGGGTCTAGGAGTCCTATTTTATGCATTGGACGTGTTACCTACTTGTTTTTTATTGTTTTGTGTCATAGATTATATATATTATCAAGGAATTAAGTTGTTGTTTCGTCTTAATTGTGACACTGCTGACTGTCCTTGATAAAGGATCACTGCTGACTGTCCTTGATAAAGGATCGGCTTATCAGTTACACATACATTCCACTCCATTTTACAAGCACCCTGCGTTTCAGCTCACAAAGTGAATTAACCGTCTTATACCGTGGACAGTCCTGATAAGGATGTTTTTCTGATGCCATGAACCCCGGCCTCCACTCTTGCACTGCAGGATTATTGCAAGGACATGTGTTTATTTCAGACATCCATCGATCACATCCTGCGTTAATGTGTGTTTCAAACTATCATTAGTCATGATCGCTTGACATCGGCTACTTCCGACAGTCGTTTCCGTATCATCGATAATCGATTGTAGCAATTTGTCACTCAACGATAATTTTGTTTATAAAGTCTAAAAATTTTGCATTGATTTTGTGGAAAACAATTAACACTAGTTGATAATTTGAATAAATAATACACAATACTTTTTCTTAAGCTCAATTTATTTCTGTCATCAATGAATTCTTGGGGGGTTAGTACACTACTTTACCTATGACCATTTTTTTATTACTAACAATCACTACCTACTCATAACGTCTAAGAGAGGTTATAGTCTAGTCATATTTGAGAAATTACCTAAAAAAAACTCTTATTAGTGTAAAACTTGGTACGTATATTGAACTTTACTTCCGGAATAACATACTAAAAGTCCTCGAAAAAAAACTTGTGCTACGGCTGCCATCTTGGAAAATGGCGTCCAAATACCAGTTTTTCCCCGATTACTCAAAAACTATTCATCCTATAAAAGAACATTAAATGTGAAGAATGTTCGCCAAAGAAAGAGCTACAACCTTTGTATTAACATCATCTCGATATAATTAACCGTTTAGCCATAAAATGCAATATTTAAAAAATAAATATGAAAATTCTTAATAAAAACATTAATTGCCATTAACAAGTTTTAAATAAATTATTAAAAAAATTATTTTATTATTTTAATTTAAAAATAGGAATGTTCTGAACATTTTCATACCAGTAACATAAGTTCTCCTTTCAATTTATATTTTCTGTGAAATTTTAAATGTCGTTGTTAGACTACCATAATAATAATAACACGGAAACTCTTGGTAAGCAGTAGAACTTCAGTCTGGTGATGAATAAGGTTGGGGCAATTATGTAACAGGATACATCACAATGATAATTAATTGTTTGAATAAAAAATAATTAATTGTATTAAAGTGGTTTGTTTTTCACAACATACAATATTAACCTATTTTCACTGATTTAAAGGGTGTTTTTAAAAGAATGCCGGGATTTTAAATGATAATTGTTTGGGTGTACGTCAAATTGAAGCTAAAATAACAAAGTTTTATTTCCCTTGTAGCAAGGGAGGAAACTTTGG